TGTGATTCGAACATGATTCACAATTAGATGCGGATAACGCTCAATAATTTTTATTTTTTTATTTAGCTTTCCAGTATGAGAGATTAAAAATATCCTGGTAAGGTAATAAATAATAGTTGAAACATGGTAGTTGATATTATGAAAGACTTCGGAGTGTGGTTGGATTCGGATACTACTACTATTTCTACCACTGCCTTGTCATCAATGGCATGACATAATCCTGGTGAATCATAGACTGTTATAGGAATCTCTCCATCGACCTTTCCAATGGTCCCTTGCTATACTTCTCATTTGTGGAATTAACATTTTGCTGGTTTATTTTTCAATTGTTCTCCTCTATTTCATTTTGGCACTTCCTCCCTGGCCCCAAGAGGGTTCCATTCCAGGACTCATTCTTGACAAGGGTCATTTATATCTCTCCTCAACGCGTGTCCAATCCACCCGTACTTTCGCTGTTTTATCTTTTCGTTTACACTATATTGCTCAATCACTCCCCATAACTCGTCGTTTGAAATGAATCGTGGCCAGAATATTTGTAGTATGTACCGCAGACATTTGTTGATGAATACCTGTAGCTTGCTTTTTATGCTTTCAATAACGAGCCAGGTTTCGTATCCATACGCAGAGCTGATTTAACATATGCGTTGAAAACATTCAATTCAGTTTTTTTGATAGCCATGTTTTCCGTAAACGGGCAAAACTCCTGATGCTTTCTGAATTCTTAATGTCTAGTGTAGCGCCATCATCAGCTGAAACGATACTTCCAAGATAGGTGAACCGTGACACGCGGTTAGATTGGGATAGCCGATTGTCAAATTCTAAATATGCAAGATGGAATCTTACTTACACATTATTATTGACTCGTCTTAATAGCTGATGTTGCAGCACAAATCTAACAAAACCAGAAAATATGTTTCCGTTTAATATTTAGTATCCGTTGAAATCAAAGGATATCTTATAAGTGGTAACCTGCGATGTGCTGATTATAAAAACATGTGCAGGAAGATTTTTTTTCAAATATGTGCAGGAAGAAACACCTGTTCAACTTAACTCATAGCAAGAAACTGTTTAAGAGACCTTTTTCTTATAGAAATGTTAATTTCTGTAACTCTCTGCAAGACGCTTACTGCTCTAAGCAATCAGTACTTGCACAAAGATTATAAATTAGAATTTTATTCTTTAAGCTTTTACCATGATTCTTGTTTATTTAGTTTTGCCATTGGCCCTTTGTTTTTTTTTCTTTTTCTTTCTCTATGCTCCTTTGACAACCTGGATTAACGGATTATGTTCAGATAAAGTATTATATCCGGTTATGTAATTTAATTAGAATTTTATATCACATTTAGAAATTCTCAAAGCACATTACTGTAAAAACTAAAATCCATCTACCTTTTTAAAATCTTTTTAGGAAATGAAAACTTCATACAAAAATTCATTGAAAAACTACAATACAACTCTTCAGAAGGGTAATAAAGGAAAACATATGAAATTAGCAAAGGAAAAATAATAAAACTCTACGAAGGTCAATCTGTGTTAAGGGAGAAAAAAGGGATAAAGTTAAATTACATACATTGAAATATATGTACAAAGAAATTAAAGAAAAATAATTCAAAATAATATCAGTTAATTAAGGTTAATCAAAAATAAAGGGAAATAACATTGGAATTTTACAATTGTAAAATCGGGTTGTTGATTTTACAATTTGATAGATAATAAGAACAAATAAAAGAAATTAAAAATACCGTAATAAGATTTCATAGCCATTAATAACCGTGCTATTAAAATGAATTATTTTGTATTCAACATTGTCCCTTATAAGTAGCAAAAACACACCCATAGAAATATTGTTAAAACACATTCAAGAGATCAAGGAACATAAATTTCAATTCAAGGCAATGCATGCCATCACAAACTCAACGAACCTTAGCAATAGGACAAAGAGTAGGATAATAGAAAAAGAAATGCAATACATTTCTTTAGATACAAAGAATTTGAATATCAACAAAAAAATTAATAAAAAAGAGTTTTGAATTGAAGAATGCGTAAGAAATAGTGTCAGCAATTCGATTAGAAATTAATGATATAACCTGGGTATGTCATTACTTCTCAAATTACGTTATCCTTCCGAAGAAGCACCTCAATATTTTGTAGGGCTAGGGTTACGCCCTATCAACCCCCTGTCAACACGGCTGTCAAATTTATGTCGTCCTTGTAAATAATACGATGACATGGTCAAATACACATACATATATATTGTGTTGATGCTCTCTCTGCAAAACTTTAAATTGAACCATTCCAAAAAAAATAACCGAGCAGCGATGGTGTCAGAGACATACCTCTGATTGTGAGCTGTATCTTAGCCTTTGGTAACTCCTGGCTGGTACAGGATGAATAAAACTAGAGTGAATATTGGAAGGATACACAAGGAGACTTCAGGGCATAAGTTGTTGTTGACTGTAATATTAGTAGCAGAATCATACTGTTGCTTCTGTTTTTTACGATATCTTTGGAGTAGCAACTTTTCAATGAATATCTCTTACTTTGTATAATGGTGTAATGTTCTTTTGGTAGAAAATTGGAAATGGATAAAATCAGCAAAACTTTGGGTTGAGTGATGATAATTTCTAATTCAAAATAAGCGTAAACAGTTTAGTTTTCTGGTAATTAGTTTTCATACCAATGAGACTGCAACAAAGCCAAATAAGCCTCCTGCGTGAGAACAAATCTATTAAGAAATGTATACTTCTTTATACATTTTAGCACAATTAGGTATATTTCGATCAAAAAGGTAATTCCGGGTATTTAGCCACATTCAAATATAAACAGTGCTCTCGGTGTCAAAAAGTCAAAACGCATCTTGCAGAACACAGAAAGCCAGGGGATGCGAGCCAAAAGAATCACTACATAATACAACTAGCTGTGACTCATTGATCAAGAATAACTTTATCTTAACTTGCCATAAAGCACAGTTTCACCAAATGATATAATGCAGATGCAATCGTATTCAAGAGAGTTAAAAAGATAAAATCCTATGTGTAATCAAGTAAAACTATGTCAATCAACTGATATATTCTTGTTCTTATTGAATATAAATCTGAGCGAGCTGTAAGAGAATTATTTTTCGGAATTGATTAACATTTTCGTACTTTCACGGTGACGGGAAATGGCCAGTTTCTATGACATATTAATTACATGCGTTAAGAGAGGTATAAAATGGGGAAAGCAATACACAAACATGAGGTATAAGATTTCATCGATAAATGGCACAACCAAAACATAATTATTAATGCCATTGTGTATTTTTATCATTTTGATATGGCAATCAAATTTCATTATAAAATTAATTGGGTGTAAAGTTTCTTAGGAATTTCTTGTTACGAACAGATGCATAACGATCGAATAAAAGCGAAAGAGTTTTCGATAAAATTGTTACAATTTCATCAAATCAGTCATACGATAAATGTTATGAAAAGGTGGTAAGAACTCCTCAAGGAGTTTTTCTGTACTAAATTTCCAAAAATCGCAATATCACTCGTATTTGATTAATTGTTGCTAAGATGGTCCTAATCCAAAATGTATGGAAGTTATTATAAAAGGAAGTTATGATGTATTTATAGTATTCAAACCTATCATAAAAAAAGTGATATGATTCATAAGGTTCACCAATGTGAAGTAATACAGTTTGATTGGAGATTTCTTGGCCAAGGCATCCTATGTATGGTTATCTTTCGCAGAAAAGGTTATTTCCTCATTTCAACCGTATATGCCAATACACTGATGACGTGTCAAGTAAGACATTAATCCACGTTCGCAACATTAAAATCTGTGCAGTGAAGTACCTCATTAATTCGCATACAGCTGCACAAATTATACACTTGGGTTGTATTTGCTCGCAAAAAGAAACTGTTTTTTGGAATATCATAAGCAGTTAAAAAAATCTTTAACTTTTTATGATCAGAAATGTTATTTACATTTTTTTCTATATCAATTTATGTCGGTTAGACTAATATTGCACAAATGTTATATGACCATAGAAGAACATTATCGTTATAAACTTGAATTAATATAAAAAAGAAGTTAACTAACTAAATGAATCTGGTATTATCTTAATAATACATTTTTGTGCAAAACTATTATTTCAGTTTTCTTAGATTTCTATGTATTTACCAAAAACCTTCAGAATAAACCATTCTAAAGAAAACAAATTAAATGTTTAAAGTTTAAATTAAATTCACCTTGAACCAATAACAATATTGTTAACTAAAACGTTTATATTTCAGCGTTAAAGTTAAATGACACTCTAATATAAACAAAATGAGTCATTAAAAGTGCAGTGAACTGATGGTTTCACCCAGTAAACGACTGGTGTTCATAATTTACCACTGCACTGCGCCAATTTGCAACGCACCTCGGATATTTTCGCGCTACCAAAATACACGTTGATGTTCTATTTATAATCTTGGCGCCTTTATTATTATTATCCGACTTGTTCATTAAAGACACGAATCATTAATTGAATAGTCACGATGATCAAAGCGGTTTCGAAATTATCGAAAGATATTGCCTCTTACTTTCATCTTTTATCAAAACGACTTAAAATAGTACGTTTTAAAAAGGTTTATGTTGATAGATTCGAACAACTTGAGTTAAAACTTTGCCTTCTTTACATCTTTCTCGGAGGAATACAGATTGAAACGGAACATAGAAAGTCGTTTCTATTCATCGTAATAGAAGTAAACGGATCGGTAAAGAAACGAAAGCGTAATTAATGTCGAAATGGAGTCGTTCTGAATGAATCCCTTTTAAAACGGATGGCGGAGACGAAGAAAATTCGCTGACGAAGCACTACTTCCACAAGTTTTACACACACACCATATGTTGCGAGCGCGTTTCTAATTGTTTTTGACCTTGATTCTTCATGATCGAATATAATAAAATAGACTTTTAACGGTCTTAAATTTCGTTCTAAAAAATCTTTTTAATTATTTTTTTTTGCTTACCGGTTTTTTCTGGTTCATATTCAGGACCAAAATCCTGCGGGGGTGACGATTCTCTTACACAGGACATTAAACTTAAAGGTCCTGATCCACCGTGATTACTCACAGCAGTTGACATCTGAAAAAAAATGATAATTAGAAAATAAAATTTAATAAGAAAGTTGTCTTCTTAATTAAGTTAATACAAAAAGAGTTTTGAAGAAGTCGTGATGATCTAATGATGATATTTCGTTTGTAGGATTGTTAAAACCGCGAGGAGAAAGTGCAATTGAAAATTTATCGTTATTGAGTAAAGGAAGGAAAACACAATTGGGTTAACAACAACAAGAAAGTCTTGTGCAACTTTATAACGTGTTAAAACGTTGATTATCAGTACGTACAAGATCAACTTGATAAAGTTATAAAATGTTTAAGAAAAAAGTGAAAGTAATTTTAATTGAATTTGTAATAAAACTAATTTTATAACATTTATTATAATTTTTATTTTGATTATTAATTTAACATGTTAAGTTATGAAAGTGATGATTAATTTTACTCAATTTTCGCAATCTTTCACGACTACTTATAATTTATAATATATGATTTTACTCAATAAATTTTAAGTTTTTATCGCATCAAATTTCTAATTTTTTAATTTTCATTGAATAGGAAAGAAATATGAACAAAAGGACAGGAAGACTACGGTCGATAGCTCTTTTAGACAAACGTTTAATTAATTTAATCAAACTATTTGAATTTGTATTGTTGGTCTGAATATTGTTCTCTCTCTCAATTAACAATAAATGTTAGCAAAAACAGGTTGAGCCATTGAGACTTAAAACTCTATCTGCAAATGTACAATACAATTAAAAATTTTCCAGACAACCTCCGCAATTTGGTACCAGCAACGTCATAACACATTGTAGAGTAAAATTTCGTCGTAGTCTCGAGTTGGATACAATTGTATGAGGTAACACTGTATGGATGAATACATCAAAAGCTTTGTTGTCAAAGGTTTTCAGATTAAACGATGTTAAACTGATGGGTTAGAATATATTTGCACTGGAAAATATCCCTGAAAATCCTAAATACAAGTAACAAATTCCTCTGTTGTAACAAAACAGAATAGTATACTATCTTGATATCACTGTTCTTCATTACCAGATTTCCGGGAAGTGTATCTGCTTGAGACGCTGCAACAAATCTTTGTCAAAGTTTACAAAACCATAATCACCACACTTAACCCTTTAAGGACCAAGACACAAAATAAAAAATGTCTCATAGACCAAAGCTGTATCTACGCTCATATGGTTTTATTGGTACACAGTTTCTAAAGCATTGTTCATAATTTTGACGGCGCAAATTCATGATGTAAGATCAATTTATCAATCCCTCAGAAATCTTTGAGCACTTTATTTTATTACTTATTACACTTTTTTGACGACATTATACGTGAAATTAGTCAATGAAGAGAGAAGGTTTATCTACATCATCATCCTTGGTTCTACAGCGCGTTGTGAACCTTGGCCTGTCTTAACAGTTCCTTCTAAATTTGCTAATCCCACGTCTATCGTCTCCAACCTCCGACTTTCAGCCTTCTTAGGTTTTCCTCCACATCATCCACAAATCGTCTCTTCGACCTCCTAATCAATCTTCTATCCACAGGTCCACGGCGATCAAAGATAATTGTTGTAGTACTTTTTATATCCATTCTGGCTACATGGTCAATCCGTCTCACCGGTGTTTGCAGTTTAATAAATTTAATTACCTATGGTTCGCAATATAGAAAATACATCTCGGTGTCGCCAGACACTGTCGTGATTAACAGCGCCATATATTTTATCAAGCACTTTCCTCTCGAAACTCCTTACTGCCTCTTGGTCTTTTTGCACTAAAGCCTATGGTAGCGATCCCATAGTTGTATTGGTATTAGTCGTATTAAGGTCTTGTATAGGACTAATTTTAATTTTCTTGGTAGCTTCGATGATTTTTAAGCCCATGGAAGCATTTGTTGGCTTGGATCATCCTCACTGACCAAATTTTTATTGTTTATCAGAGATCCCAGCTAACCATCTCTATCTTGTTATTCCCAACTTCCAAACGATGTGGTATTTGCAAAATTTATCTTCTCCGCCTCCGTTTTTAACCTTGTAAAGGTTCACCTCATTTTCTGTTCTTCCTATAATATCTATGTCGACGGCGAATGCTAAGATCTGCGATGATTTGTTGAATATTGTTCCAAATGATCGGAGTCCTGCATCTCGTTTACCTTTTTCAGGGCAATGTTACAAAGCAGACATGACAGCTCCTCTCCCTGTTGCAGATCTTCATGCTTTTCTCAATGTTCTTGATAGATCTTCCTGTGTTCTGACTTTACAGGAAACCTCCTGAGAGTTAAGCGTATTATCGCTACCAGATAAGGAGGTAGATTATTAAACTGGCATTTTTGATTTAATAAATTTTGTTAGAATAAGGTCTATCTTCTGATTATATACAATATGCGGATTCAGTGAGTGCAACAGGTCCAGAATCGCACGAACATGTCGATCCCATAGGTATGGCTACCACATCCGGCTCAGTCATGAAAGGGTTAAGTGAATCCACAGGAAGTATGGGATCTCTAATGACATTCGTGTAAATTCTAGTCCTCTCAAATCAGAACGTATTCCATCAATTTTTTTTGCTTAACGAATTGTTTTTCTTATAATACTCCAATTATTTTATTGAAATAAAAATTCAATTAAGTTAATAAGTGCAAGGCAAAAGTTTACGGATAAACAAAGATAGCTTCTCCTATTCAAATTCGAAATAGCTATCTTTATTTACGTACGAAGGCTTTCACGGCCGGTGTTAATTAAACTAAAACTAGAACTAACAGTAGCACTATCACTAGAACTAACACTAGACCTAGAAACTGCCGGGTTAACCCGTGCGTCTTTTGAAAAAGTGTTTGACGTTTCGGATGCCATGCCACGTCGTAGTTTTAGTTTAGATATCTTTATTTTTGAGTTTATCTAGGAAGATGAAGTACTAAAAATTATTTTTCTTTTTAGTCAAATGACAGCTACAAGTTGTTTATGCTCATTTTATGAGTTTTATAATCTAGTTAAATTCAACGATGACAACCAGTTCAATATTACCACAGCTATCTAGGAAACTCATAGGGAACTCATACTCAGAATAGTTATTCTTGTTTTATTGAACTTTTTCATCCTTTGTTCATAACAATATTACGAAAATATTTGTTTCTCGCCAAGATTTTGTTTTTGATTATAATCAAGTTTACATAAATATTTTTCGACTTAGCTAACCAATTATAACTTTATTTCAACCTTTTAGCTTAAGCGAAATTAACTTAAATAAAATTAATTTTAAGTAAATAATTTTTGATTTCATTCATTAACTATCACTATATCTTATCTTTTATGTATTTACTGTCAGGTGTTTGTTTTCAGAGGTCTACAGGTATATTGTCAATAGTCTTGTTTCGTTTTCCATTTATTCCTTTAATTAAGTGATGTTATTTTAAATAAAGTTTCTATACGGCTTTATATTTTTTAACTGCCACTTTAATTTACACTTTGTTGGCAAGTTGCCACACAAGAATATGAGTTGGTTTGAATCACCTTCGACTTGTCAGCGTTTATATATAAATATAACATGTTTATAAATAATATAACAACGGATATTTAACTTTCTATAAAATCCTCAGCGAGAATCAAATAAAATAATAATAATATCCATTGCTCGGAAATAGTTTGCGGAAGTACCGCGAGATTCGATTTTAACCCCGTTGGTTTTCTGAGTTTATGCACTCCCATCTTTACCCATATAATTTACAAAGAATGATTGCAAAAATAAGTCTAAACCGCCCAGTAAATTACCTTCCTGAGATGTTATGCAAAGCAGCTATTGCAGAATTTTTTGCACTAGAAAAATGAAATAAAAGCAACTGATGATTTTCTTAATTGTCTATCATTCGATATTCAATTTCAATATAAATTGGGGACTCACTTATTAGAATTAATATCTACAATAAGATGTGAATCATCTTCAGATGCTGTTGCCGCGGTAGCATTATTAGTAGAATAAGCAAATATTTTTTTCTGCATCCATCAAGTTAATTTTTTTGATGGCGTTTGAAATGATCAAAAGACTTTTTCGATAATAAAGTTTTGTTAGCCATATGGCATTTTGATCTATTGGCTCAAGTAACTGGGTACAATTAGGCGGCAAAAACATAGTTGCAATTTCACCAACATCGCTTCTCAACTGCGCCACTGAAGCGTGACTGAGAGCATTGTCGATTAATAACAGCGCCTTCCAATTAAGATTATTCTCTTTTTGAAATGTTTTTATTTGTTTGACGAAAGACGTATGAAATCATTCAATGAATAGAGCGAATGCCATCCATGCATTTTTTGTTGAATGGTCAACTGGAATATTAGCGGTCTTAATTATTCTGCGATTTTTAAATTTGCCAATAATCATCATTTTGAGTTTATGAGTACCATCTCTATTAGAACAAGCGAGAAAAGTGACTCTCTTTGCATTTTATTCGCTCTGGCGCTGAGGTTTCTTTGACGTGTACTAATATATGATCTGGTATCAGCTTACGATGGTAAATTTTTTTCGTAATTTTTTTCAGAAAAGGTTGGACCACTGTAGGATCGCTTGATAGCTCTTCCCCAGTAACTTTTAATCTGCAAATGCCATCTCTCTCATTAAAACCGTTAAGCCACCTTTTACTTGCAAAAAACTTGTTATAATTGTAATGTTTGCCATAAATCTGCAAATAATGGTGTACATACTCCATTATTATTCTTATTACTTTTAATGTTCAAAATTGTTGCCGCACCAACGTCATATTTTGCGGCCAATGATTTTCCACTGTTTAATTATTGTAAAATTTCATAGTTTTCGCTAAACGTTAGAGTTTTCTGCATTCGTTTAGTCACCTAATACATACGATAAACAGTTAAGGTGATTCCCCGACGTATGTAGATTCGGTAAGAATTCTGATTACCGAGGGTTCGAATTAGCGAGTCCACGAAAAGAGTAGATTTTGTGACTCTTTATTTAACCTTCCATTAATGTGAAGCTACTTTAAGGTTTTTCAGAGTTGATATCACCAGATTG